CACTACCAGAAGCTAATATATTCCCATCAGGTGAGAAACAGACTGATTAGACAGTGTCAGTATGACCAACCAATTTGATTATTTTTTTCTTTATTTTGACATCCCAAAGACGGATAGAGTTATCCCAACTACCAGAAGCTAATGTATGTCCATCAGGAGAGAAAGAGACTGACATAATTTCTCCAGCATGTTCATCCAATTTGGCTTATTATTTTCCTGATTTGACATCCCATAGTCTGATAGTGTTATCATCACTTCCAGAAGCTAATGTATATCCATCAGGAGAAAAACAGACTGAATTCACTCTATGTTCATGACCATTTAGTTTAATTAATTCGTGGATTCTTAATTTTTTCCATTTACAATTCAATAATAATGCTCCATTCAAATTGATCCCATTTATGTTAACATTTTCTAATTCTGATCCACTTAAATTACATCGAACTAAATTAGCTCCTACTAAAGAAGTATTTTAGATTTTAATATTTTCAAAATTGTTTTTTCTAAGGTCTACCTTCAGCTAAACTAATAAATATAATGAATTAGACCCACATTATATTAAAGTGTTATCAATAGATGTGAGGTAAACTAAAAATTACAAAAATTCAATGATCTATCTATTATGCTATATGCTACTAATAAGACTTAATATAGATTATTCGTTTTCTTCAGAAGAAAAATCTTTCTTATTTAAGTCATGATTTTTTAATTTTTTTAAAACATCTGTAATTTATTTCATGTCATATCTAACAACAGACAATTTTTATTCTGTATCAGCTTTCGATAAATTCTCTCCTAATTGTTGGATTTATTACTCTAATTGTCTTTAATTCTCCTTATCTGAAAGATATGCAATGCAATCTTAAACTTTTTCCTTTCGTAATATTTTAAATATGACACAAAAGATATGTTTATCTACATCTTTTACTTAATTAAAGATTTCAGCTAAAGCTTTATTCTCTTATAAAGTGTACTGCATTATTTTAATTTTAATATATTGAATTCCTATAACTTTAAGTTTAAGTTAAATACTGCAAAATCGAGGAAAGTATCTTATGTATTATTGTAAGATTGAAGTTCAAGCGTTTTGTAGATCTGGAACTGATTATTATTAAGGTAAAATATGCTATTGAGAATTCAACATTTGCATTGCTTGATTCATGAATAATATAGAATATATTGATTTTATATATACATAATTTGAGTTCTATAATTGATTGATTCATTCTTCTTGTTGATCATCTCTATTTAAGCATAATTAATGATTTCTGTTAATAATTTAAAAATTGGAATAAGTTGGAAACAAATCTTGTTTAATCCTTAAAACATATAAAATCCATGATTTTACAACTTGAATAAGTGAGTAAAAGTGCTTAAAGTTAAAAACAGTAGATCTTTCTAATTAGTATCAATAAATATGAATAGTAAGGCTCATAAATTCAGACCTATTTTATGAGATTTGAATTGTAGAGCTCATAATGAGCTGTCGAACTGTTCTTGATGTCTTAGAAGATCATTAGAGGACAGCAATAAGGATTGAAGCTAATAAGATTGTCATAAGAATTGGGTATTTTTTGCCTTCAGATAGAAAAATATGAGCTATTAATTGTAGAAATAAATCTATTTTTCAATAAGTGTGTTAAATGAGGATATTAGGGAGCCAAAATATATATGGTTAGAGCGAATATGAAAAAGGATAAGTCGATCTGATTATGATAATTAAATGTTAAAACAAGAAAAAAAAAAGTAGAATTCAATAGTCATAATTAGTAAATTAGCTCAGTTAGAAATATATTATCATCTTTTTTCGCAGAAACTATGGGTCAATTTTTTCTCCACATTTTCTCTCTGACCTTCATTAATGCCAAGATGAGACTTAAGTTTGATTTTAGAATCTTTTTTATTAGACTCTTGGGATTTATTATTTAAATTTATTTTATAGTTATATAGTAAGAAGAATCTAAATACTAGAAATACAATAGAATCTATCTTAAGGTATAACAACACATATAGGTGTTATTGTTTATTATTTTTAATACATAAGTTGATTTATTTGGAATAAATTATTAACGCCCTTTGAAGGAACAGTATCCATTGTAATGTTTGATTTAATTATAATCCTTTTAATCTTAAATTAATTATGTATTGACTTCAACAAATTATTT